AGATATTTTCGATCGCGTTCAGTCAGAGTTGGAATTAAGTCGCTCATCTGGCGAAGCTTCTACCCACCTATCACAGATAGAGGAGATAACAGAAACAATATTTGAACTTCACCTCGACGTCTATACACGCATTACTAATGCAGATAGTATGGTTGGAATGGATATCAGAATTATGACAAAGGATAGGCTTGATCGTTGGGCAGATCTCTCGGCTTTTGTGATGCGTAGCCGGAATTCTGAGCAGGATGATGAACTGTCTTTAAGGTATTTGTGGGCATCAGTCTTTTATGCCACAGTTCCTGAAGAAGTTTCACGCGAGCATAAAGTTCATCTCTGGACTAGCCTTCGAGATATTCTCGACAAGGCTGGAAAACCACCAATTTTACTTCCGAACAATGCCGTCATACCTGAAATATCCACATCGGCGGCAGATCGAGAGGTCTCAAGCCTGACAACGATGGAATTCTTCCAAAATCTTTTCCAGCCCGATAAATCTGACCCGTTAGCAATTATCCAAACACTCGAGCCAGTTTTGGATCCAGAATCCACATCTCAGTCTTTAGAAATGGAGATTGCTGATTCTCAAGACAGCGAGATCTCCAAGATTAAAGATACTACACCAGCGATATTGCGTGACATGTGGAAATTCTTGGACAGTGGAAGCACATCACTTCGTCTTTTTCTGTGGCAACGTCTGAGCGAAGCATATGCCAGCATCGGATACAAGACCAAAGTATTTTCATGTAGCTTAAAATGTATCGAGATATTGGTGGCAGAGTTTAGAAGTGAGGGTTACTTGAAATGTGATGAAGAGACTCGTCGCCATAAGTTGCTGGTATTATTCAAGGCTCTTGATCAGCTATTGGTTCCAGCATTGACTACAGCACTTAACGAAGCTACAACCTGCTTTGAAATTATCGACGACCGCCATATTAAATCAACATGCGCCGCATTGGCACAATTAAGCCGTATACTTCACGCCGCGGCAGTCTTCGATGACGAAATTAGTGTTGGAAGTATTTCACTTCCACAGACTGGGGTCTACTCTATGTTTGGATCGTTTAACAATTTTGCGAACAAGGTCAAGGAAATGCAAGTACGGACGTGGGCTTTACAGTATGCTATGGTCAAAGAAGCTACAACTCAGAATCGTGATCTATTTCCAACTCCTGATAATGATCTAGCGGATTTCCTTGCGCTAGTCCATTATTCATTAGGCTTGAGAAAGTGTTGCAAGGTCTCGAACAAAATTTTCCTTAAGATGATGAAGCAAGAAATGTCCCGTTTTAAGCACATTGACAGATGGGAAGACTATCTGGGCCAGGTATTGTTTGATCTATATGGCATCAAATTAGGTGTAGGCACATTTCTGCTCGATGATCATGGTTGTCCTAGAGAAAACTTGGATCGACGAACTGTCATGAATATTGCAGAACAAGTCATCTCACTTGCGAACAACATGCCAATGAAAGATCTTATGAAGCACGAACTCAAGCCCACAATTGAAAAGATGCAAACTGCTGTCGGTCAGCCCAAAGAAACACCTACCATGCTACATAACTCAAGAAATATCACGGAGTATCTGAAAACTCCAATCCGTCCTCTGGACTTTTATCTAGCCATGAGAGGCGAGGTAGAGATTGATTTCATTTCTGTACATACCCCAGAAAGCCCTCTTGCCGATAAAGGTTGGTATTATCTCTTAGGTATGCTTGCTCTGACAAAATACCGTTCAACGAAGCGAACCAGTGCTGGCTCCCAAACGGATGACTTGAATTTTGCAGCACATTTCATGAAGCTTCAGCTGCAATATACTGCGGATCACTGGGAAGCGTGGTACAGACTTGCGCAATGCTATGATCTGGAGCTAGAGGAAGAGGTGTTATGGAGCGCAGATAAAATGAACGGTGATAGACCACTTTTGGTTCGTTTGCAGAAGTCTTCTATTCATTGTTATGTTATGGCGCTCTCTACAGCAATGCGTTGCGCGGATAGTTCATTTGGAACGGCTGAAAAGCTGTCTGACATGTATCATGATTTTGGAATGCGCTTGTATGCATCATCTCGAGAGCCTTTCAGCATGGAAGTGTTCTGGGTAGGCGAAGAAAAACATATGAGCGGGGAACAAATAGGGATGTACAAGAAGACGCCTTTCGAGGAAATGAGTAAATACAAGTTGTGGAAATATGCAGCAGAACTATTCAAGCGCTCTCTCGCGGATCGGCCAGATTTCTGGATGTAAGTTTATTTCCATACTCGCGTCAAATTGAATGCTAATATATTTAGGAATCATTTTATGCTGGGAAAATGCCAGTGGAAAATGATAGCGGCCGCACAGGAAGAATATTATCAGCCCAATGTACCCACCATGGAGATGGTCTTGAATACGTTCATTCGTGCCATAGAAACATGCCCGAAACCAAGTAAAAGCAGTCAGGAGCCCATCCTGGAACCACATTATAAGCTTGCCTCTCTTGTTCATAAACTGGTAGCGCGAGGAGAAATGGAATTTCAAGATGCCGCTAAGCTTCTACAAGACCGACCATATGGTCCACGCAAGGGAGATCCTTTTGTGATTGAAAATGAAGAAGATTGGGAAATATTTATTCTTGCTTGCTTCCGCCAGTTACGGAATTTAGACAAGCCACACTGGCATCATCGTATGATTGCTCGTGTAGCTAACGTCGTTTACGATGAGTCTAATCCGGATTACGAAAAAGCTTGTTTGGCTCGCAGTGAATTTCGAGAGTCTATATTCACCAAAACCATGTCTATGCAAGTTTGGAAACCAGAAGCGGAAAGACCAGGAAGACATTTTGTTTACATGCGACGTTATGCTCTGTTCATGGCCAGGCTCTTGTTTCTGACTGACGATAAACCAAATATGGAATTGTTGGCTAAGCGTGTCAGGAAGCGGGCAGTGGACTACTTCAAATTTGGCGATGTCTGGAATGAATGTTGTACAATTTATCTTAGGCTGATTCGTAAAGCTGCTGCTATACCTGCTAATGTCGACGAAGTCTTCAGAGGAATCTCGCAGGAGGTGTGGGAGGCCTACTCACAACGCCTAGACGATTCTATCAGAGATGGTAGTCTTTCACACCCAGCTCTTGATGCTTTGCGAGAGACTATTGAGTTGAAGAAACTCAACAATGGCCTTGCGAAGATAACCCCCATCGACGATATGATCAATGATATCTGGGCAGTCCTTTATATTCAGGTCGTCAGGGACACTCCTGCAATAGACGTTACGGCATTGACCCAATCTCAAATTGACGGAGAAGCTGCAACAAGACCGTCGGGTCCGATGACTCTCAATCATATTCTTACCAATACGGATGCCTCTACCCCGCTTCCTTCTGTCGAGGTGCCCAGACCTCGCAAACTCGGTATCAACCGCAAGGCAGTAATTACAAGAGCTGAGCAATCTATCAACCGTGCCGCTGAAGCAGCTAGACCTGCTGCCCCTACTCGTCCTAAGAATGCCGTGTCATCTTCTGTTTTGCCTTCAAATGCATCGCCTATTACTTCGTCTGCCCCCAGAATCGAGATACCTGTTGCAGCACCCCAGCAAAGCGCAAGAAGAGAGGATAGTTCAGCACCAGGCAGTGTACACGATAGTGCAGATGATGAGAGTGATTTGAGCGATGTTCCTGATATGGACGATCTGGATGGATCTTTAATGTTTCCGAACCTGATGAGAAGAAATGGGAGTGGGAGCGTAGGACATACTCCTACCCCGGGAAGTAACGGATAGAGTTTCTGAGGTTAATGGATTCAATCATATTTGCTTTTGCGTGGAGTTTGAGAAGGAAAATACCCATAGCTAAGCAGATGAGCTGCCCTTAGCCTTGTACTATATTAAAAGTGTGCCATACCAAATAATAAAACGAATTAATGAGCTTATTTCTTCTCGTCTTTTGCTATTGACTTGTCTATACGTATCTCCTCTAGAAACCCAAACTCCGAAAAATAGGTCTGGCTAAGAAGAGCACAGCCGTGAGGAAATCCGAGCATATACTTGTAAAATAGAAGGTTTGCATATTTCAGTTTTTCAAAACTGAGCGCCACATCTCGAGATATCGCATGTGAAACCTCGCACCCTCAGCTCGTGCCGAGGATGGCTTTCTATAACCTTTTTCATCCATCTCAACGAATCATAGCACATGCTGCATCAATACCTCTTTCTTCTCAGTCGAAATTCCGTCTCCAATTTCGCGCGGTTAAGTATTCCTCGTAAATCAGTCCATTCTTTCAATCCATTGGACTGACCCAAATTCATTACTTCGTGCATTAGATGCCTCTCCCCTTTTCACCCCCTCCTCGGTCAATCTAGGCACATCGGAAGAACAACTCTGCATGTACTACCTACCTCCTACAAACCATCCCCATCGCCCATTCCCTTTAATCTCCTACATATACATACATGCGCACATGCGTATTTAAACATTCATTAACATATACCCAATTCCCAACAGTTTCATGCACCACAACGTGACAAATGAAAAATGACAAACCCGTATGCACGAAGCCGAGCAGGGCCGCAGCACGAGAACTCCACGCCATGTGACCTTCCTTTTACAATTGGATTGCCCATGCTTGGTGGATTGAAACTGCAGCGTGCAACGCTAGATTCCACAATTTTGTTGATCCGGTGGGGAAAATGAACTACGTGATGGCGGGAGGATGCAGGAAGGTGGATTGAAGCTTGGTGTTACGGGGATGGCATGGGTTAGTGGAATACTGCATGGAAGAGGTTGAAGCGGAATGGAAGGTTTCTTAAATGATAGGCATGTATGTGTTGTGTTATGTTGAGTTATAATGTGTTATGAAAATTCTGCGTTGGGAAGGAGGGGTGTTTTGTCGTTGAGTGATATGAGGGGTACCAAGAATTTCAGCGATAAATGTTCTCTACTTAACCGGTACATAGGCTCAAGATAGGTTGCCAAGACTTCAAGACTCTAGGTAGGTTGGAATTTGTTCTGTTTTTTGGAAGTAGGTGATCACTTCATATTGCCAAGAATAAATATGTATATATATTTTATTGATGAATTATTCAAATAGGAAAGAGAATTGATTTTATTTAGGTAAGTAACAGGTATTCAACTCTTGGTCTACCTACCAGTGATCTTACGCTCGTACCATCGAAGTGGAGGATACGTCACGATAGTAAAGACACCACTTAAGAAGATTCCAACGTCACCTCCATAGGGTCCAAATTTAGCTGCAATTGGGCCTAATTGTAGTGTTAGTATGTTGAATGTACTGGAAGAAAGTAGTGATTGTTACTTACCGACATACCAAACCTGAGCCATGCCAGGCAGACCACCACCCAGATAACCAACCAAAAGAGCCATAACAGCAGCCAAGCCCCATGGTAGTTTGGCGGGTCTATCCCAAGAGTTCAGATCGTAACCTTCTGTACGACGGAACCATTTATCTTCTATTAAGAGAATAAATGTGAAAGAAACCGTCCAATATCCAAGTAGAGAGACAAAGTCGCTGACGATACTGGATAAGTGTGCTCTACCAGCAATTGCGAGAACAGCAATTACAAGAGCGTTAACAAACGACCAGATAAATCTTGGGATTGCATGGAAATAATGACCAAGCAATTGAAGACCAAGACCACTAGAGTAGTTCACAGCGACGTTGTTACCGATGACTGAGAAAACCAATAGGACAAGGCAGAACTTGGAGAATCGGAACGGGTGGAAAGACTCTAGAAGAAGACCACCAAGTCCATGGTCTTCATATGCTGTTGCCCAGGTTGGATTTTTTGATGAAGCCAGTGCTGCATTTCCCAGACATGCACCGATAATAGTTGCAAAGATCGTTGGAAGGGAAATTCCCAAGATGGTAAGGAAGAAGATTTTCCAGCCCTTGGTATTGGCAGGGTAGTTGCAGTAGTAATCTGAAGCAATTGAGCACCATCCCGAGGCGGAAGAAAAGCATACAGCGAAGAAGCTAAGCCAAGAGCCTGAGAAACCAAGACCAGAAACCTCGGATGGGAGGCTTGGCTCCATCTTGGGAGCGACCTGGCCAATCAAGACACACATGATAATGAATGTCATGATCCAAGAGTATTTCTCCCATGTATGAATGATTCTGAAGCCGAAAATTGATACAATATAACTGATGACTGCGATGATGATAATTCCCACCACGATTGTCATGGTGTAATCGGAGACGGCAGCCAAAATCTGACCCACCACCACAATATTTACCACGGCAAAACCTCCACCGATAACAACATTGAGAACTGAGCAGAGTTTTGCACCGTAGAAACCGAAGGAATATCGAGAGCATGCAATTGCACGGAGACCAAGCTTAAAACTCGTTAGCAGAACTCAAGAAATAGATTTCCAGAACACTTACCTTTGGACCAAGAGTACCAGTATATGCAGTGCAAGCGGCTCCCAAAATAGTTGAAACAATAATGGCGCCAACTGCTTGGCTGAGGGAGAGACCATAGACTTCGGGATCCGTGCCAAGAAGGCCAATTGGTATGGTGCCAACATGCATTGTGAGAGACCACCAGAGAAAGAAGACGTTGAGGATTGACGGAGGTTGCTTGTCTTCTTCGTGTATCCTATCAATACCTTGCGTTTCGATTCCCAGCTTTTCGTCGAGCCATTCTTCACCACGTCGCAGACTACGCAGGAAGCCTTTTTTCTCTCGAAGTTGTCTAGCCAAGACTATCTCCTCAGAGTCGCCCTCGGAATCATGACTGCCAGCCGCGATCACAGCAGGATCAAGGTCTTTTTCAAGGCGGCCGTTCTCCAGATCATGGGAATGTTTAACATGGTGAGCATGTTTCAGATCAGCCTGATCACCATGGACGAAGTCCGACATTGCTCCAAGGTTGTAAATTTAGGGAAGCAGAATGAAAAAGATGAAAACTTTCTGAGACGGGTAGGACAATCAGAGGGGGGACACGACCTAGTTACATATGTATGCAACGGAAAGCCAAGGCTTGACATTCTAGAAAATTAATTTAACTCATGAGGGGTGCCTCCCATTTCTTGGGACGAATCAATTGAACGGAAAACAATAGGTGAGCTGTACGTAGGAAGCCTGATAAGAACTCACGAAGATGGGAGCTTTTTCGCAAGTGTTTGGTGATCTTCACTGGCTCGTGTAGATAAGCGTCCTGGTTGGTTCCTTCTTGGCAAATCTTTATCAGGAAGGTATTTTGTGGTTAGTGGAGCAAGGTACGGATGGGGAAATATCGCGGGTGCTCCGATTCCCATACTTGCAATTGGCCGAGGGAGGCACAGGATAGCAAGAGTATGGTAAAGGTAAAAAGCTCACAAGGAACAAAAAAGAAAGAGTATCTTTAAGTTGGGGTAATTATTGGATAGTTGGAATGAATCCATCGGCGCACGCCGTATACCACGTTCTGGAAGGACCACCATACTACTAATGGAATATAATCCAATCTTGTTGGACGGAAATGGATCCAGATTCAAACCTTAGGGCAGGGTTCGGGAGATAGTGGTGATACGAAAGGTAAGCCACATCCAATTTTCTGATATGGAAATCGTGAGAACCTTAAAAGACCACCACATATTGTTTGCTATTGGGTTCGAAGATGGAGGGAAGCAGATAAGACACTGGTATGAGTGGCATTTGGAGTACAATGCAATAGTTGGAGAGTAGAGCCACGAAAAGGATCATGCGGATGGCCGGAGTAACGGCTCATGTTGTGATGAGGAAAAGAGGAAACGTTCTAGTGTAACGAAACACTGGTTGACAACTTGACAACTTGACATGTCCTGACTTCTGATAAAGGAAACGAGATCGTATCGTGTTTTGTCAATGCAGTGACCAAAGGGCTGGCGTGCAAGGATTGATGTGACCCGTGCGACTTGATAAGGTAGAGAAGTGGCGCGGGGGATCACGGGGTTCGTGCAGTTATCATAAAGTTTATCGTCAACATCTATGAAATGATATGTGAAATACGCGACGAGAGAGAGAGATACGATCGGACTCGTTTCCAATTTAGATAAGGTGTTCTAACCAATCTCGCTAATACGAGTTGCTAGTTATGTACTATATATATATACCTGGGTACTCTCAAGTGGCGCGTAGTATCGACCCGGATAACATATTCCTCCCAATTTTAAACGACCGAGGTAAGTGGAAAGGGGGAGGGATAGGTCCGAATAATCCTCTCCCACCGAACGCTCTCTAGTCATTCTTCATCCACTTGAATGATGCGGGTACATTCAGAACTTTGCATCTGCCCAGACAATCGAATCAGACTTGTTTAGTCTTGGTACGATGAGTATTGGCGCCAAGGAAGCTTGTCTTAAATCTGGCGTGAACTACGAGCCAACTCGCAACTCAAATTCAACGTCATCAAACATCTCATGGTACGCGATGGGATTTTTCACTTGAAGCAACTTCTCCCCGAGTGAAATTGAGTTCGGCGCACGTCTTTTTGAGTTGAGAAGTTGGCCCTATCATCCACAATTACCTCGATCATCTAGTGGCAAATATATTCCTCTGTTATGAAGCTTTTGCTGCTTGCTCAAACATTACGCCCCTTTCTCTCATCCCTACTCGTATATTTGGGCCTTCTTTCGGAATCAACTCAACTGGGCCTTCTCGAACTCTCAGCAATAGCGAGTGCAACGCAACCTCAAGAGGCAGGCTTATCTGGTACCAAGAAAAGAAATACCATCATACATAAAGAGACGATGTCAGGTTCCATCGGAACTTCTAGTGGGAACTTCTTCAAGGACCTCAAAAGCAAAAGATCATGTTGAAAAACTTCAAAGTGACTGGAACTTTGAGTGCGAAAACTTCAAAGGGAATGAAACTCTGAGTGCGAAAACTTCCGCGTTTCTCTCTGCATAGTGTAAACAGTAGCAATGACGCAAAGGAATTATCTCGACTTTTGCATAATAATTGCTGATCATATTGTCACTGTCTGGGCTGTCATTGTCTGATCTCTGCAATATGTCCAGTTGTATTGTATACACTTGATGCTTGAGGGCATCAATTGATCGAAGTCAACCGAATTGCATTAAAAATGATCTAACAAAGCTCTCAAGGCTGTGGTTGTGGTTGCCAGTAGTCGCGTCTTACGGTATACTGTCGCTAGAATAGATGAGGAAATATTCACTTTTCGGCCGTACAATCTATTGCACCTCAATTTCTGAAAGAAATTTGGACCAAAGATGTATCAGCTCACTCTCAATACAACACCGTAAACAGTAAGTTGAGGGGCTTGTATAGCTTCAATTTTACATTCTTAAATGATACTCGAGCTTCGCAAAATCATTTTCAAATCCATCTCACTTCTCCCGTTTTTTGACCCTATCATTTCCCGCATCTCAGAGAGACAGAATGGATTGTTTACCCCCAAAGAAGCGCATTTGTCTGAATTTGCATCACTATGCTATACCTGCCACCTCCGAGGCCTCAGGTAATGCTGTTCAAGAATCTATGAACTCTAAGGTATGTATTCCCCTGTTATGTTATAGTGGTCAGAACAAATCGCACTCCAACATGAGGTCCTTGAAGCCGAAAGGATACAAGGTGTTTGAGTATGGAGTGCGATCCCTCAATAGCTTCTCTCCTTTGCTTGTGCATTGAACATCGGAAATCATTTTGTGCAGACTACTGACTCCAAAGCAGGCCCTGCAGCGACGTAAAACTCCCACAGTTCGTTTTTATATGTTTCGATGGCTTCCCAAGGAGCTTCAGCTTGAAATATGGAAGATAGCCGCTGCAGACATTGATGCGCAAATTATTACGATAGATACCAAAGTCCACCCCATCAATGAACAATCGCAAGTCAATCAGTACCATCGAGGTCCCGCATACATTCACAGAAATAGCATTTCCACCGACACTGAAATCACATCACTCGTGGCCCATTATCAAATTCCAAGCCTTCTCCACACCTGCGGAGATGCTAGAGAGGTAGGATTGAAATACTACCGCCCAGTATTTGGCCGCGAGATAGGCGGCGCACCTATCTACATGGCTATAGACCATCGTCGTGCTCCGGATACATTTTATTTCAACAAACTGAACGCTCTAATAATGCTCCGCTCCAGCACACGAAATTTCAACAGGGGTGTTAAAAATGATTTGGATTCTATCAAATCTGCCGTAGTGTGTATGAAAGTGCACAATGGCCCTAGCATGAACAGTCGAGGTCTCCGTTGGATAACATCATCGCTTCGAGAGATCAGCACTTTGTGGATTGCACGGGATGAACCGTGTATTTGTAGCCAGAAGTACACCACAATGGCACCAACAGTAAGGCTATTGCCGCACTTACTAGCAGAAACCATGATTGAGCAGCACGCTACCTTGCAACAAAAGAAGAAGCTTGAGAGTCGTGGTTTTTATTTCGACGAAATCATCAAATGTGTGGAGAACCCAGGACATTCTGTTACGAACTACGGGTTTAAGATCCCGCAGGCTAGAATCACGTCGGTAGATAAGCTGAAGCAAATTTATGAGAAGTCGGTTGGGAGAGGGGCACGATCTCTTGCTACTCTCGAGTATCTTCAAAAGACGCTAAAGCAAAGGGGTCCCATAATCTAGGACTGGTCTATCAGTGGAGGTGAGCCAAGCGAAGCAAGGAAGAGCCGAGGAAAGGTTACTCTGGTTGATGGTGGTTGATTCGAACATTAGACAGCCGTTCCGATAAAGTCAGATTCGTTTAGGAGATGTGTGTAAATGGCCAGCGGACAGGAGGATGAGAGAGATGATGGGGAAGCAAGATAATTATATGGTGATGTCAGGACAAGGCATCTATATTTGTACACACTTTCGATTAACACATCTATGCATGTTGAATGTGATTGATTATTCAATTCTCAATGTTAATTTCATCGATATCATGTTTCAATGTCCCAATTCAACTTCATCAATGATATGATAATGTATTTCTACACGTGAAACCCCCTGAAAATTTATGGAACCCCTACTACAATCAAAATCCTGCTGATATTTTCACTCATTCTCGATCCATGAGAGCTTTTGATTAAACAACACTTCTCCTACCAGAGCCTGCCCTCAATCCAAATTTAAAATGTAGTATAAACCCGAACCTCCAATGCCCAATTAACTTCAACGTATTCCCAAACACCATGCTCCGATGTGTTAAGTCTCTCATCCATATCTTTGCAATGCGAAATCTCGATCCTGGCGACTTACTTCGTTCTTTTCCGGTGGTCATCATAATCGTCCATTGCAAAGATTACCGCTAAATTCATGGTTACGCGTCTCAAACAACTTGACTGGAAAGGAACATCAAGGTGTTTTAAAAAAGCATCTAAACTTTCAAGTTTACTGCCGCAATAACATATGATATCACCCCCCGGCCCGTGATCTTTGAAAAGTTCTGCTTTTTCATGCTCAATTAATGCCTTCAAGCATTCGGACCCTCTCAGTGAATTCCAATGTGCTTTGAGCGCATCCATTCTTGTGAAGCGCCTGCCACATCCATACCGCTCATCTCTAAATCGACCACCACATTGAAATTCCTTAGCATTTGTATGCAGGAGCTCGTGGCGGCGACAGTCTTTGCGTCTTGAGAAACCCTTTCTGCAGGTACTGCACTTATAAGGCTTCTCATTTGTATGACTCCTTGCGTGTTCACGGAGTGTAGTCCCCCTTGTGAATGTCTTGGAACAAACATTGCACCGGTGGGGATCGCCTTTCTTTCTGGCTTTCGTGAAGCTAGGCACCGTCTCAGAGCCAGATGTTGTTTGAAGCGAGATCTCTTGAGGTGCGGAACATAAAGGCTGAGTATCAAATGGAGCCTTGAGAGTTGAGTTTGCGGTTTGCATTTGGGTTTCAGCATACTGAATGGCAAGCTCTGGGCCTGTTGAGCCGCTTCCATCAAGTACGGGCTTCTCGCCTATATATTGATTGATCGATGAGTGATCAGAACTCTGAATGTTTTGTGGTGGTGCGGTGATAATTGTGCTTTGCGCAACTTCATGAGGTATGGAATAGTCAGCCGAGTTGCTAGCCCTTTCACTGGAATTTCCCACGCCAATGTCTACGCGGCCTTCATTGCAATCAAGAGTCAGATCTATGATCTCAGATATCCGTAGACCTGACGCTTTCTTGGATCCCCGAGACTGATTGAGATTCTGTGAATGTATTGACGGCGAGTTAGTCGCTGCTTGGAGGAAGCTGCATTTTTCATGGAAAGCAGCGATCGCCCTTTCTTTTAAAACATTGATGTTGGCATTGAACTCGTTGCTCCAAATCATCAGATCATTCAAACTATTCATTGTCTCCAAAAATGCCAGTTTTATATCCAGAGACTCAAGTAATTCTTGCATTGTGAAGTATTTGTAAGGTTCTAACATGAGCTGTGTCGCGGGAGCTTGTTCGAGAATACTTCTCTGGTGATTCTTGGTGTTATCTTCGTTCATGATGTTCAGTTGGCTGATTCGAAATCGACTTCAAATTTCTTGGAGCATTGCTTTGTTTTTATCAATTGAGACCTAGTTTCCTATATATGCATCGCCTTGACTTTTTGAAATGCATCGCATTATGGCGGCCCGTCAGGACCAGTCTGGACACAGAAGACAGGAACCATCATGTCCATTTTGCGTTGAATGGCTGTGCTGTGTGTGATGTTGCGTAATGCAGGGTACGTTCAGCTGGAGTTTGTGGTCTTTGATAGGCGCTTACTATCAGCCGTGCAACATTTGCATCGCCAGGATCTAGAGAACTTGCCCTTTCCACATTCGCCCGAAGCAATTGAAAGAATTGAAAAGGCGATGCACACTAAGCAGGCTGAAGAGTCCATTGGTTCTTTACCTACCGGGTCACACGCCGTATGTAGGAGGAGGTTCGAGGTTCTGCGTTGTGAAGATCCTAATAAGATACGTGTGCGACGAATGATGAGGGAGGTAAGGTTAAGACCCGACTGAATGCATCTCTCTCAGCATTTCAAAGTGCCTCGCCATATATCCTGACCACCATTCAATTTTCAAGGGACCAGGCGATGCAGCATCTTATATTTGATGATTAGTACATCGCCTTTGTGGGTGCCCGGCTACCTTACTCGTCAATAATACATTAGTTTCTAGATGATGCATAGATTTGGTATCGTGAATGTTCGAAAGTTCTTGTCACATTACCGGACCAACATCCCCAGGAAATACTGCTTTGTTTTTAGAGTAAAATTCAATCCATCAAGAATGTCTTCACATTTTAAGAATCAAAAAGACGGCGTTGGGATAGGGACCCAGGTAAAATTTGAATTTGAAATTTGTAAATCCGGATTACTCAACGATGATTCAGGAGGAAAAGTACGATGGTGTTGTGGCTCCTTAACAATGACGAATTTAGGTATGCTGGTATGGTAGGTAGTAGTGTTTGAAAGGTTTCGTCGTTCCTGTTTTTACGTGTGCTGCGTGGATAACGGACGGTAGACATGTTTGGAGTGTCGGCGGGCCCTTCGAATTGCATCGCCAGCCCGCGCGTTTGTAACGACCGGTTGCTGAATCTAATGTATCACCAGCCGAACATCGCCTTTTTCTACCTCGACTTTATTTTCCTTTCTCACCCTGCGCTACGAGCAGATAGCGAATCATTGATTGACAACTTCCAGACCTTTGCATTCAAATTATGGGGGCGAGATCATGCAAGGCTGTGTGCCTATACGTAAGAGAAAAAACAGGCCGGAATTGACCAATGCAGAACACCTCTCTCTACTCCGTACGCGTTGTTTTGGTGAGGGTGCACATACCATTACGCAGTGATCAATTCGGGTCAGTTTCTTCT